GATAATCTGTTAGAATACATTTTAAAAAAAATTTTAGCACACATTTTGTCAAGTTAAACGTTAGATTAGATAAACTTGGCTTTTTCCCCAAACATAAACAGCACTTTGTATCTTTAAGTGCTGTTATAGAGATTATCAATGCCCAGATTTTGGTTAAAAACAGTTTATTGTACTTTAGTGTTAGGCCTCTGAGTCATCTCACTTTTCCAAGTTTCAAGAGGGAGTGTCGTTCTTTGTGTAGGCCCGGTGAGATTTGAGTTTAGCTTTTCTTATTATTAGATTTTCTGGACGTTGGGAGGTCTCCCAGCAGGGGAATTTATCCCACTCCTGTAAAGCATTATGCCACTGATGCAGGCATACTTTTGACAGTTTCATATTTACATTGTCGTCTGACCTGATTTATACAGTTGCAGCCGGGGGTGCGTTTGGGTTTTTTGGAGGGAGCGTGGCAGAGACAGATGACTCTTTAAAAAAAAAAAAGCTTGTGAACACCCAGTTTGAGTGTATTTGTCCTGTTGTCTGTGAGAACGACATCAGTAATGCTATGAAGCCTGATTGTCAAGTACACAGGTTGATACCATATTGAATGTATTATTAGTGAGTTTCACTCTTTAACTTTCTTATAGTAAGATTATACTGTGGGCTGAATTGTCTCAAGGCTAAAAGGCTTTGTATGAAGGGACCGAGCTCTGCAGGGACAGTACCTCAGTTATTAAAGTGAAAATTGGCCCTTTGCAGTACATCGTGTCTTGTGAGTTCTTAGCTTGGCAGCATGAATTAGCCTGTCCTCTTTTCTAACTCCACATATTCTACACAATGTACACTGATGGTGTTTTCTAAGCTGACATGTAAATTAGAAGTGAGAGAGTAGAGAACCAACATGGGCAACAGTTGTAGTGTCAAATCAGTGATAGTTGCACTGCTTTTTGGAAACATTACAGGTTGTGTGTTTATTTTGCTAAATCAGTACACAGTGACAACCAGTTCTAGGGTTAAGGAAGCCAGGGCTTCTCCACACTACAGAGAACGAGGCCAAATGAGTCGACTCGCATCATAAGAGGCTTTTCTCCTTCCCCTTCTTCTCAGTGTGTGAAGGAGTCCGAGCTTTCAAGTCATTGGGAGTTTGGATAGTTGTTGAGTCTCTTTAAACCTGTATATTTGCTGGAAAAGTGACTGAGGTAGTCAGATGTGCAGGTACCTAGAGAAATGAGGCAGAGTCGAGGCAAATACAGGCTGGATCATGGACCCTACTGAGCTGAAGCTGTGTGCCATGGTTCTGCAGTTTCCAAAACCAGACAAGGATCCCTCTGGTTTTGTGAATCAGCTGACATGGTATGCTGTTATGATCCTACTAAGAGATACATGTACAATTGATGACATGTTTAAGGGGTAGATTTGGTGAGACAGAGCCAGCTGTGACTATCACAGTCCAACATGAGGATGCACAGAGTAGACCTGACTGGATAAAGGCATATAAAACTCAGTTAATGCGTTGTGCCTTTAGACTAGGAATAGTGGAGGGACAAGAAGCAGCACACCTCTCACTTCTACTCATCTGTATTTGAGCTTTACATTTTTAGACTAAAACCTACATCTCTTGTTCTCAGTGAACAGACCTACTTTCAGGACCATGCCTGTGGTGACTAGATCTTCTCTTTCTAAATTGACTGCACTGTTCCACAGCTCCCTAGTCGAGTATCTGGAAGCACCAGTCAGGGAGAACGAAGCCACTGTGAGAGAAAGTGTACAGTTAGACGGACTATAATCTTTGATATGTTAGAGAAAAGTACATTGCTCTTCCTGGTTGAAAAGTTGCAGTTTACCAGGCTGTTTCCTGTCCCACCAGAGAAGCTGACATTGGGACGCTGGGACCCAGAAGTTGTCGTGTTCAGCTGTGAAGAAGACAAAGACCCTGCTGTACCAGACCCTCAGTGATGTACAGCGCACGTTGTTTCACTTTATAAGCTTGTGTCTTTTTCTGACCAAACTCCCTTCAAAAATCCAGCAGGTTAATTTTGCTTTTATAACAACAAACATAACGTTCAATATACTGTAACTCAAGCTGCACTAACTTAAATGTAACATCTTCTGGTTAAGTCATAGCAGTAATACATTAATTTGAGTTTACTGCAATAAACATAAGTTTATGCTGCTGCTAGCTGTCATTCCGCTTCTTTGGCCATGTGTAACATTGGCCTGCATACAAAGTCCCCAAACTCCTTCAAAACATCTGGTAGAAAACTAATTTCATAAATGTTAACTTCTTTTGGTAATTTTGACTTGAGTAGAAAGACCTTGTTACTAAATATAATCTTTAACATTAGGTTCCTGCTGCTTTGCCACCTGTTTAAGATTGATTTTCAGCCACAATGTATGCTTGTATTTCCATATAGCCATCATAGACTGATAAGGTAATATTATCATAGACTGATATGTTAATCTTACCTTAATGTTTCTAGAAAACCATGGAGCTACCAATGTGCAGAGCTTCTGATGCATGTCTTAATAACATGGCTTTTGGAGCTTTAAAGTGACCATAAAATTCAGAGTTTATTCACTCTCCAGGCTTTACAGCTGATGTTATTACAAGTTACAGTTCTTGAACCAAAAACAATGCAAAAAGCTCAAAAGAACAACAAAAAGACAAATTGGAGTTGAGGTCTCCAGTTTTTGGTGAATGGTTCAATATAATCTAAATCTTCTGTGTGATATAAACAATAGTGGTCACAGTACAGTAGGTAACTTGGTTGATTTTACTTTTGAGATTTTGTTTTTGTCAATGCATCTCAGGTGCAGATGCTATGTTTGGGAATTTTCTAATATAACATGAGCAGCTGGAGGAAACAGAGGTTTGGCTATGCGAGATTAGAAAAAGGCTTGTGTGCACTATAGATGCATAAAGCTAGATAGGGACATTGTGTGGATGCTGACTCAGCACCCACACAATGAGGTGAGGTTGATTCCAGTTTCAGTGCTCAGGAGACGTTTCCCCAGACTGGGATGTTTTGATTTGACTACGGTGTTTATTGTAAGTAAATGGTGGTTTACTGTGTCTCACCTGAGCACACCAATGACACGACTTGATTGCGCTTCAATTTTTTGACCACTAGATGTCCTACTGGAGCACTGTGTCTTTGAGGCCTCGAGTAATGAACCATTTGTGTGAACAATGTGTCGAAGGTTAAACAAAGCCCCATCGGCCATCAGTTCTGTCAGGTGCTTTTGCTTTCTTTTGCTTTGTTGCATCTGGCGGGGCGTCACGACTGCCAGGTAGGACGTAGGGATGTGTTAGGAGAGCGTATGTTGCGCATGGACTTCTGGTGAATATCTGCTTTAAGACAAAAAAGCTGTTTCTCGTAGATCACTTACTGCGCATGTCAGAAGGTAAAACCCATTTGGCGTGTGGACACACCTGGCACTTGTTTCCGATTCTCCTTTGAGTTTTACCAAATTCTTTCGTTAGTGATGAATTAAGCTAAGAAGCTTAAGTGCGGCTATAAATATTTGCATTTCCTGTTGGGTTAATATAATAGTGCTGGCTACAATTTGTAGGCAAAATATAAACATGTTTCAAACATTTTGCACAGCTGCTACATAGCTGAGTTAACTAACATCTAAAAGTGTGTTTTTATCTGTGCTAGTTGTTCATGTAGTGCTACAAAGACAGAGTTAAACATGCTTTGACAGTTTGAAGTGGCTGCTCCGTGTGTCATACGTTTTGATTTAAATATTAACCAAGTTAATTGACTTTGTTCGCTTCCAGGTCATGAGCCGGGTCAGCAAGATGCAAACCAAGTGACATAATTGGTGAGTACAGTTGCCGACAGCTTCCTAGTACAGTGGGCCTATACACACAGGTACAGGATGATGGAAAGGTTTTAGGCACCGCAGTGAGAATGCCACACTTTTTATTCTGACTCCATACAAACAGAAGAAATCAAAACAGTAGTTCCTGTGACCACCCTTTGCTTTACAACAGCACTGGTACACTTGCGCATACAGTAGTTGTCAGTCTTTAGCTGCTACATTTGTCACAGTTCTTGTGTGCACTTGTCTCAGCGTCTTGGTCTCCTGGTGTAATCCCAGACTGAGATCAGGACTCGGTGTGGGCCACGCCATTTGTTGCCAGACTTGTTGTCTCATGGTTTCTTATGACTGTTGCTGTGTGTTTGGCCTCGTTGTCATGCAGCAGATTGAATCTGGAATCACTAAGACACCTCCCAGAATCTAAGCATATGTGCCTAAAACCTTTCCACTTTTTACAGAGTTGTGTTGTGACCTCAAATCTATATGGTTGTAGCATGCCCCTCTAAAAAACTGAGCCAAAGCACTCTGTTACTAACAACACTCTCTTGCTAACCTGAGTTCATTCTTAATTTCATTGATTAATAATGAAATGGTTATTGCTGGGGTAGAGGGGCATGGATTTTTAAACTTCTGAGGGAGCTATAACTTGAAGTTAACTTTCTTTGTGACATTGTTTCTGTTCTTATTTCATTAATGGTGGTGTTAATAAAATTTCCTTATTTTTGACACTAGATACAACCCTATGAGAGAACTGCTATTAAACCAAACCGGTTTTGTTAAGGGCTAATAACAGTCTGTGATAGTCACATATCTGGCTCCAAGAACAGACCAGGAACATGTATAAATACTGTATGTACATGGAGATCTTGTTCTTCTGTGGGTGAGGATAATGCCTGGTGAATGTATTTACATACTGTGTGCTTGCTGGGAGGGTGATGTCTCTCCTGACTTTAAGGGGGATATATACTGAGATCCTGCGTCTCATTTTTTTGGTGCTAAACAGTGAAATTGTGTGTATTCATATTACTAAGGAGCTGTGGTGGGGAATCAGAAGAAATGCAGCACAGCATATATTTATGTTCCTGTACAAGGATGCAAAATATTGGAGGACAGAATGGAAATGAATACAAAATAAATTTAAAATCAGGAGAAAGTTAAGATGAAATAAACATCAGAAATGATTTGCTACAAGTAGAAACTGCAACAGCATCTTAGGACGTTCCTTTTCACGGTGGTCTTGTATGGTGGCTGGGCTGGTAGGAATCCATTTTAAGATGAGTCTGAAACATAGCAGAATGTGGAAAACTTGAAAGGGTCTGAATACTCTCTGTATCCACTGTATGAAGCCAAAATACTGCAGATATGTGTAAATTGTATAGCTCTACCGGTAGATCACGTCATTCGAATGCTCATCGCTAGTACAATCAAAACTTGTAGAGTCTTTGCAGGTTGGGAAACTACCTTTTCATTTTGCCTGATTAAAAGCTATATGATGTAGCAGCCACTCTCTGTCATTTGAAGAAAATGTTTAGCTGTTTGCTTTAAAATAGTACAGATGTACCTCGTTCCTTGACACTACACTTTAACACAGTGACTGTGGTTTTACTGTAAATCTGCTGATCACGGTGCTTAGAAGAAAGCATCACTCGAGCTCAGTGCTCTCATACAGTAAGGCTGTGAAGATTAATCTTTAGACACCAGCACTCATTAATTAAAGGTTACAATAGCTGCTGTGAGATGTGGTGAACTGTGAAGTGTGATCTGCCCTTTCTGGATTAATGACTGTTCCAGACCAAGATTTGAGTACCTTTTTTTTATTGTTGATGAGTTAAGACCAGTATCTTTATTAATGACCACTTGGACATTTTGCTGTTACAAGAGCACAGATTCTCTCTGGCGCAGTTTGGGCACTGAGTTATCTGTTGATACAAAGGCAAAGACCTTCACAGTTTCAGAAAGCACAAACACTTGTACAGATTCAAAAGTCTTTACAGAATATCCAAACAAAAAAGGCTTTTTTTTAAAGAAATATACACTCAGTGACTAGATATAATGGACCTCTGCAGAAGATATTCATTCATTTTTCTCCTAATTAACATTGACAGTGATTAGAATATGTGATTGGGCTGCAGAGCGGCAGGTGGCCTCTGTAGAGCACCGCTGCAGACATGGGGGTTTCATCTAGCGTTTGGGTTCTTTCACACCTGGAGGTGCCACAGCTCAGCTTAACATCAACAGGTTCATTCATTCATAGCAGTAGTCACAGAAAAACATCAAATGCATTGATGTAACATATTACTGAAGCATATTTGATGTTCACTCGTAATTTCAACCTGTGGAGCAGCTCACAGTATGTGAGATAGAAAAGATTTCATCCTGTCTGAAGAATACTCAGACTGTTTCAAGGAACACTCCTGTAAAGAAAGTTGACGAGTTTTCTAAAACAGGAGCCTTGGCCATTTGTTACATATGGAAATCTACATGTTCAGTAGCAGGACGTTACAGGAAACCAGCTGATGCTCCCGTCGTGTAATGTTTAAAATTTTTTTTTTTTTTTTTTTTTTTTACCTGGTCACTGAGTGTGTAGAACAGAGAGACAGAAGGCAAGTATCAGACTTCTCAGTAAGCAGAACAACGCAGAAACACCCCAAGAACAGGACGACGGTGTCAGTCGCTCATTATTCGCCGCTGGCTTTAGAGGCCATGTAATGTGTCAGTTCACATTTTTCTGTTGAACGTGGTTTCTGTTCTGAAAGTTAGTGGTTTGTTAGTTACAAAATCTTAATGTCAAGTTTTCATGTTGTATAATTTTTGTGAGCTAACTGGATAACAATTTTCCAAACACAAATTATTAGACTATACAGAGAATAGAGATGGAGTTTGATAGCAAGTTTTCACATTTGCATCTAATTTCCCCATTGAGGGATCAATAAAGTACCTACCTACCTTATTAAATCTGAATCACATATTAAACCTGATTAATAATTATGTTAATACATTTTACTTATGAATGCTGGTTTTAAAGGAAGTATTTTTATTTCACTCACTACAGCAACAACATTTTAAACAGTTTTGGGTAACAAACAACATAATATTTATGAATCCTTTTTTTGTGACCACAGCTGGTCATTTTAATTGTTATAATAAACCATTTACCAGGTAGTCTGACACTAACTGCAGTTAAAGCTGTCAAACCTAAACCGTGGACGTTCCGCTGAGCTGAAATGATGATGTTGATTTTCTCTGTGACTTTCATTAACCCCGTCCTCGCTCATGCTTCCTGCTGCTGTTTGCTCCTCAGTGAGGAGCTGTGCTGTGTAAGCTCACGTATATACATCAGTGAAAATAATTACTTTATCGTTCTGTGAATATCAATGAAATGAATCACTGATATTTTGCTCTGCCAGGAACTTGGCTTCACCTGAGGGTGAACTGGTTGTTGCTCTGCTACAGATCTGACAGGTCCCAGTATCACCAGCGGTAGAACTGAGTGAGGCTGAGCACTCATCCTCCGCACGTTATGAACTATGACACAAGTTCTTACTTTAACATGGTGGACACTAGATGACTATTTAAATAAAACACATGTCGTTCCCCCTTTATTTGACCATTCTGCGAATATCACTTTTTACAGTTGTTTCTTTGACTTCAGAGCGGTTAAGTGGGTCCACCTTGTTTGTTTATGACAGTGATTTAATTTTTAAAATTGATATGTAACACATAGCAACATTCTGCGTACCACAACAGTGTTATCACCAGTTTGTGGACTTTTTTTTGTGGTGGTATTTGTTTTATTATCAGAGACCAAAGAGCATAAAGTGAACAGAGGACATTAAAGACAGATTTGATAAAGGATTAATTTGGTCGTGAAGCTGAACAATCTAGTATTTTGGTTCAAAACAATATTTCACTAACTTGGATCTGGATCCAAAATAGAACCAACTATCAGAACTCATCTCTAATAGTGAATAATGAATGAGTTCAGTCTCTGTATTACCCTTGTTCTCCTTGACAGTCAAACAACAAAATGTGGAAATCGTGAAAGGCTCTGAAAACTTACTGTACTGACTGTAAATGACATATTTGCATCGTTTCTCATTATTCTGTACTTTTTAAGTATAAATGATATATGAATCACATGATGGAGCAGTGTTCACGGTTCAGAATGGACTCTTATCAGGGAAGCAAAGCAGCGTACGGAGATGAGTTCAGTGCGCAGATATTCCTTTTGTCAGTTCTCATCCCATCCTCATTGTTACTGCTGTATTTGTACAGTCATTGTGATAAAAGATAAAACTGTTGTAGCTGTGATGACTTGCTCTGTATATCAAGCCGTTCTGCAGTGTTTTGGCATCTCAAGCCCTTAAACGCATTGATCTGTTACTTCAACAGAAACCTCAACAGATGTTGAACTAGAACAGATGTCCTCAAGCAGTTAGACCGAAATGTTCGACCGTAATCAGAGAAAATGCTTTTTAAACCTGACTTCACATTTAATCTGTTCCCTCTTTCACACTGATATCATTGTAGTTTGTGTACATAAATGCTTTCATTAGGCCAGCTTTGAGTTCCACGGTACATCACAGATCTGAGCAAAATCTGTGTGAAATTCAGTTTCATTATGGGAGTTTGCTTTTCCCCAGAGGCACTGCGGTTTTCATCATTTCAAATTTTCTGGAAATTCACAATCATCTTTGTACATAGCAAATTACATAGGGTTTACTGCAATGACGATGGGAATTAAGCCACCGATGCCACAAAGCAGTGACAGCAAGCCTTTAGTAATACTCAGAACCTTAATTATAAACCTTTGTTTTGTGCAGTCATAGTGGTAATGTGATGAACACTGTAGCCCTTCACAATTATATAGGACACCACTTAATTCCATACTTTTTTTTTTATAAAAACCTACAATCCCTCTTCCTATAAAAACTGTCAGAATTTGTGTCCTAACAGATACATCGTTAAAATAATTTTAACATTATATAAGCAAGTATAGGTGCAGACACAAAAGACACACATGCTACTATACAAGATATTTACCTGTAGACAATACAGATGTACCAAGAGTCTCTATATCCCCATAAAATGTTAGCACTAGTTCATTTGAAGAAAAGAAAAGCATAAAGATATATATTTTTTTGTCCACAGGCACCAAAAAAATACATTCATTACATTCAAAACGGAGTCATGGTTAGCATTTTGTTGTAGCGGTGTGCGTCATAGGCAACGCTTCAAATACCATCAAGAGTCTTTTCAATGCTTTAAATGGCTGAAGATACCTCTGGCTTCTTTGGCAGGAATAAATCAATGCAAATGGCTGCTAATACAAACCAAACAGCTGTTAGAAAACAAGCTAGCAGTAAAAATATTTCTATAACATTGTTTTTACTTTTTTGTAGGAATGACTGAATAAGAAGCTAAAGTTGTCAGAGGATTGTAGGAGTACTGCCCTTAAATAGTGGAGTATTGATTGTTGGCATCAAATGGTTGCTCTGATTCTTAGGCTTGTTCCTGATTTAAATCAGGAGATGTTACACTCTTTAATTATGTAGGCATCGTTCTATTTTTCATGTGACTGCACTTATCAGTCTGTTAAATGGGGCAAAATGGGTGAAACATAGTTCCCAAAATAAGGTATTGTATTGTTTTGGGACGAATACCAAAACACACAGGCGACATTTTTGAAACCCAGCGGGACTAAAACTTTGACAAACTGACAATGACCTGTGACATTTTTGTGCCAGTGTTCAGTCCTAAAATAGGCTTGTAAGTAATGTTTAATTTCTGGCTGTGTTGTGAGTCCAGGTTGTGAGTTGGTAAAATACAAAGAACTCTCAAGCTTAATTTGAAGCTCAATTGAAAGCTGAACCAAACTACATTCACTGGGTTTGAGAAAATTCAGATGCTACCAGTTAACTGTAAAATGCTGTCAAACCATGACCCTTGGCCCACAATGCTTTGCAGCCTGTCAGTGCCCAACTGTGAAAGATGTGCTCAGTGTGTCCAGACGTTCTAGATGGTCAATCAGCCAGAAAATTACAGGCAGATAAATTCTGTCAGTGCGTAATGGCCTCGTTGAGTAGCAGTTGCATGTGTTCACATCACACAGTCAAAAGTGAGACACAAACACTCACCCAAAGCAGGAAGCCGAGGTGTCACAGCTGGATGTGAGAACGCTGCACAAGCAGAGCGAGATATGAGTGCACAGAACAAGAATGTGAGTCTAGAGCCATGCGGGTGCCATCTTGGAGATCTCCATGTGAATCCTGTGGTTTGAATTGACACATTTACATTGAGGCTGTCTCCATCCTTGTCTGACAGTTCATAACCTAATTCATGGGACCAAGTCTTGTGTAACGAGGGTCTGGATGACTGACTAACAGCTTGGGCATTCTCTCACTGTTCGGGTGCTGAGTTATGACAGAGAATCTGAGAATAAATGAGGTGAAGTAAATGCAGTCTTTCACCAGTCTCTGTCATTGTCTCATACTCTGGATGAAGTTATTTCAGCTTCCACTGCTTGTTTTTGTTTTGTATCTTTGCATCCCTCAGTCTTACACCCTATTTCTTCATAGCCGCTGTTCAAACACAGCCTTAGTCAGAGCAGTTGATGTTTTCATATCCTGAATTTACATCAGGTTTACGTCTGTTAGGCTGCTCATTAAAGATGTTAATGTTCAAGTAGGAGCTTCAATAGCAGCTTGTTGACACAAACATGACTCCTTTGCAGAGTTTTCCCTAGAAAAGATCTATGGGGTGTAAAGATTCATTCAACGGTACGGAATCACTAGTTCACTGCTACTGTGCAGACAGAAAAGCCAAGGATGTCTAATGTGGCTGCATCATGTCAGTTTATGAAAGTGCAGTTAGATAAATGGCTGGCAGATGCTGCTGCTGATTGTTTTTCACATTTTCGATACTATATACAAATGTTCTACTGCAGAGATTTAAAGTGTGTAAACCACTTTGGAGCCGGCGGCCTTTTGGGTCACCACCCGTACAAAAATGTCCCGTACAAGTTTACACAGACAAATGAATTCAGGTTATGATTTCTAATCCACACTTGGACTCAATAGCACAAACTCACAGTAGACAACACAGGCATCGGTGCCAGTCCGGGCCCTCTGTTAACGGCACAAGGCTGCTCATATGAAAAAACAGCAAAACACTGAAGTTTACTTGGCACATTTCATAACAGGCTCAAGAAATATTCATGAATATAAAAAAAATCTAATTCAGCATCATTACACACTTTGTGTATATTGGCAGAGCAGATTTCAGAATAAAAGCCTGGATAGAATTGGAGTTTTAAATAGACCGTTCACATACAATCACAATGAGAATTTTTCTCTCCTCTGAAAGAAAAGTTGCACAAGACTGATTTATAAAATTGAGAAGTGGAACTGGATTTGGTCCGTTTCACTTGTGTGCAAATTTAACCTGGTTTCCTGCTTAGTGCATGTCTGTTCTGTCCTTTAAATTAAACTAGAAATTTAATGGTTAACGTGAATAATTTTACCCAGGTGAACAAACTAACAGCCTCATGAGTTACTCTGAAGTAAGCAGCTATATTGGAATCATGTCTGCTAGGTTTCTTTAGTCTGTTTCCATACTTCATTTTAGCCACTGTTTTAACTGAATACTGGTTGCACAGGAAAGCCACTCTTAACTCACTGACTCGGTCAAAACGAGCTCTTCTCTCAAACAAAAAGTGCTAACATAAACTCAAGATTAAATTAATAATTGAAAATGAGATTGAGTCTAAAATCCAGGCTCAGGTTGTTTGTCAGGTTGTTTACTGGTCGATCTACGTTCCGACTCTCACCTATGGTCATGACCGAAAGGGCAAGATCCCGGATACAGGCGGCCGAAATGAGTAATAGTTTTTCCTCTGCTGCATAAGCAGGCAGCTGAATGACAGATGCAGTGGAAAAACACCTTTTCAAATTGAATTTACTTGAAGACATTTTCTTTGTCAATGGAAGAAGGAATATATGGCTTGAGGGTTGAGAAGCAAGCAACAGTAGTGTTGCCAGCATGACAGGCTACCGGTAGTCTCCGTGCCTCGACATTAGCAGGATGTATGTACAGGCACATGGTAGAAAACCATCTGAAGCTTCTGAGGGAAGGAAATTGGGTGCCTAAAACATGCAGTGAATTGCAAAGCAAAACTGAAGCTCTGCTCTTTTGAGTTTTTTGTAGCATGTCTGGCAGGTCTCCAGCATCTGGTGTATTTTGAGGAAAGAGCAGGTTTTTCTTTTATACATGACTAATGCCAATAACCTTAAGCTAGTACTCTTAATTTGTGCAAACAACATGACAGTGTTTGTTTCTAATGTTAACACTCAGTTCGTGAGTGGAGGCTGTTGTGCTTTTAGGTTTTATCCACGCTGTCATTTAATGGAAACACTCAAGCTGTTGCTCTCTACCTGTGGAGCTAACTTTGTGTTTAGCCTTGTTTAGCATTATCACTACTCCTAGCAGCCATTGGTATATACTGTAAAGCATGTCGGCTTTGCTTCCTACTGTGTGATTTCTGTCCTGTGCCCACTGAGCTGCTAATAAAGCTTAAGACAGTTACACTGGTTCTGATGAGCATCAAAACCAAGTACTTTACAGTACAGTACATACTGGTACTCAGCAGTATGTAAAGTACTTGAAATTGTACGTATATAAGGTTGTTAAACTTAGCGCCACCTTTTCCAGCTGCAGCATCAAATGTGATGAACACAACGATGCATCAATATTTATAGTCCAATAATATAAATGTACCAAGCTGCATGATGAGTATTTTAGGTTTAGGTTATATTTTGATGCAAATACGTTTTTGCTCTTAAGTAATATTTAGAATGCAGGGCTTTTACTTGGAGTATTTTTACATTGTGGTACTGCTACTGTTACTTCAGTAAACAATCTGAGTAGTGTATGTCTTCCACTGCTGGTTTTTGGTGACTGGCATGTGTTGTCAACAGACCGGGGTTGTGTTGTGTCTGTGCTGCAGCGTTGCTACCAGAGAAAGCCAGTGTGATCCAGAACAGGTACAGGTCTGTAGAAACCAGCGCTTTTCTTTGTCTCACCAGTTTGACTGAAGTGCTGCTGCATGTTGCTGAGCTGCTCTTGGTTTACACGTTCACTGCTCCACCACGCTGACATCAGTCTGTTGGTGATGGGCTACAAAGTACTCACACAGTCCACACTTGTCTTTCAGAGAACACTCTGAAATGATTTCCTTTTCTGAAGATGAGCAAACATTACGACCATAGACACACAACACAACTGTAATGTGTGTGCGCTGTCCACATGCTGCACTGGCTTCATAGTTGAGTTCCACCTTTTTCATTCTGTCACCATTATTACAAAAATTCAGCTTTTAGCATTTGTGAATCAATTTAGAATCACAAAAATGTGAATTGTGATTCTAATGTGAACTGATTTTTACTGATTCTCAGTAGCAGCTGAGTGAAATTTGTTCCAACCTACAGTATAAGGACATTTTCTTCTGCTCTGCAAATATCACAGTACATGTTTGATGCATCTATATACATTTATACATAGTTTTTCTAAGGTACAGTACTGATGCTATAGTCTGCTACAAATATCAGCCGATCATAACGGACTCCTTAGCACAACAAAAGCTTTAAGTGTTTTTTCCTTTTGTTATGTGCAGTCCCAACAGCACAACCTACCTGCATTTTTAACTTGGAACTGTGTGCAGCATAACACTGTGTACCTTAAAGGCAGCAAGTAACACTGATAATGAGTTTCCTCTTTTCAGATCTGTCATTTAAATAGGTGTTTCAGACATATTTATTTCTGGAGAAAACACTGAGTTTGCTTTTCTCCACAAGTTGTTTCCAAATGGTGCAGGGCAGCCAAATGGATAAATTACTGCTTTACATGTATCCCCCAGCCCAATTTTCTTGACAGTATTGAAATTACCCTCAACAAATTAGATGTAAATCTCAGCTTCTGCGACCTATTCACATGAGCCCTACAGTTCAGTGGAGGGCTTTAGTTTGAGCAAGGACAGTTGTTGTGAAACGTCAACACCTTTGATAATTACCTTAAAGGAAGTCTCCCTGTCCTTCAAATAGACACTGCAGTCACACCCCCACTACTGCAAGATGCCTTTTCCAGGTCCTCCATGACCACATTCTGTTCAGTGACATGATGGAGTTGCCTAGAAGTGGTCTTCTCCAGATTGTTGAGAGAAATGGGCTCCAGTGACGTTTGTACGTTGTTGGCTGGGAGCACCGAGTTTCCCTGCAGCCTGTGCGAGTACATCTTCCTCTGCTGTCCGTCCACCGTGCAGGGGCTGAACTTAAACACAGCTTGAAATCCTCTGCGGAAGTTCTCATTGAAGAAACCGTAGATGATGGGGTTGACGCTGCTGTTGAAGAAGGCGAGCCAGTGGGCAAAAGGGTAAATGTAAATGTTAATGATTCTGTACTGCTGCTCAGTGAGGCTGGCGTAGTCGCTCAACATCATGAGGGTCCAGAGAGGCAACCAGGAAAAAATGAAAAGCAAAGCAACTATTAGAAGCATTTTGATCACCCTTTGCTTTTTCTTCGACACAGTGTGGCGGTTGTCATGGCCTGGCTTTCCCTCAGTCGGAACAGCTGTTTTGAAAAGCGTGATACCAATCCTGGCGTACATGACCACGATGAGCGAAAGAGGGGCAAGGTAGATGTTTGCAAACAGCACAGTGGTGTAAATCTTCCTCATATCCTGGTTTGGCCAGTTCTCTCTGCACCAGTAAAACGGGCTTGTTTTGTTGTCGTAGCCCAGTAACACTCGAATGGTTTGCTCCTCAGTCACTTGTAGCATCACCCCGGAGGGACACATGATGGACACGGCCAGAAGCCAGATAATGACGATTATCAAGGTGGCTGTGGATAAGGTCAGCTTTTGCTTGAATGGGTAGACAATGCATCTGAACCTGCAAAGAGATTAAAAAAGACTGAATGAGGGAGATGTACTTACACATTTAAATCTGATTTTAACATTTCTTAAAGTAATTGAGTGACAGTGAAGAACATTTACTTTAAATGCTGTGACATTTTAGAAAAAAGGCAAGTGTTGCTGTAGTTGGTCTTAGAATGTACTGTATATACTTTTTGCAGTTTAATCTGCAGTAATTAATATTTTATAAGATGGAAATCATTAATTTATTTGCATATGTACTTAATTGAACCCCTTCTTCTAGAAGTTACATTTATATACAGCTAGCTGAACATTTTCGTAAACTGCGCACAAATATGTTTTCCGACAGATTTTCTGATCGTGGAATACATTGTTCCCATGTAGCTTTATTAATTCTTTATGTTTAGCACTCGCAGCACCTGTTAGGAAAAAATTGTGGTCTTGTTTAAGGGACTTGACACACAAACCACTGGAAAAATGGAACTCATTACAACTTAGACAGGAAGTGGGTTGGCTTGAATTCTCACTGATGGTTTGAGAACAGAGGTGTGCAGCCAGAGTCTGTCAGACTGCTGACAGACAGCTGTTCTCGCAGGCGAGTGAGAGCTGTACTGTGTATGTGCATGAAGTCCAACACAGACATCACCAAAGAGCATAAAATCATTTTCAGAAAAAAAGAGCTACAAATAGGCTAAATGACAAATGGCAAACCAGAATTCATCATCATCAGTGTCATGATTAGCATCAGGTTGACTGCTAGGCTATAGAGCACTAAAGTGATTATGCATAAAGAGGTGGAAACTGTTTGATTGTGCTCAAGTCTCCCTCTCTGAATGTCATTAATATAGGCTATACACATTGGGTGGTAAGGGTCTTTAAAATAATTTACAAAAATAGTCTTCTGCATTAAGTTGCAAAACAGAAGTGGCGCCACCATCTGAGAGACTTGGTGGGACCATTGCCACCAGTATGAAATGTTAGTCTGGAGCCCTCTGTTATATGTAGCAGTAATAAGAAAAAGGCAGCCCCTGTACCTGTCAACAGCGATGGCAACCAGAGTGAAGACAGATGCTGACACAGAGATCCCTTGAACCATGCCGCTCATTTTGCAGACCAGGCTTCCAAAAGGCCATCCTGTTGATTTACCATTGAGATGATAAGTTCAGGCAGAGGTTGTAGTAGTATTCCAGAAATTGTACACACAGTAAAACACCAGTTACTTACCACAAGCAGCACTACTCTGGTCTATAATATCTGAAAATATCATGTTTTTGAGAATTAATATTTGAATATTTTTGAAGGTGCATGATCCATGAAAGAAATTATGTGCATCTGCTTGAGCTCTTGTTTTCCAATGGAGAGCATGATGACAGTTAATCTTGCAGACACTGAGGCTCCCAGCACTTTGCCTTGGTTATTTGCACTGCTATGATATTTACATGTCCCTGTCCACACTCAACCTGAAATTATTTGAAATTTAACTTTGATCAGTGCTAACCTTTCGAAGCATATTACACATGACCAAGAAGGTAAAGGTGGAGAAATAATCTTAGTTTCCTGGGATATATTGGTCTAATTTTAAAATGTAGATTGTCAATTGTCAGCGTGATTTTACACAGTTCTTTTTTTTTTATGCCTCTGCGCCAGTGATAGCCGCGTCTGGAGCACTGTTTTTGGTCATTTGTCCGACTATCCTTCCATCCAGCCCGACGCTTGTGAGCATGATATCTCAGGAACACGTTGAAGGGATTTCTATGAATCACAGTTTCAACCTCTCGAGTCGCCTTTGTTCTTGAACACTACAGGCTGTTAAGAAAACAGCAGGTTATGACATGATGTTCTCAAGGTTCATTGTATGTGGGATGACCTCCACGTACACATTAGTAGTCCACAAATGTAAATTGGCCAAAAAAAAGGTAGCTCTTCAGTGAATGGGACAAATGATTGTCATCAAGGTTATTCAAAGGGTTGATAAGTGTAGCAGCCCTGTTAATGCATAGTCTTTCATCAGAAAATTGAGTTGTTGATTGGAGGAAAATGGCAGGAATAATGTGCCCAACAGAGTTTTTATGAGTGGAGCAAAAATGTAAAGACAGACCTGCAGGTTGGCACCACAGGAGAGTGTGAATGTTCTTCCTCTGCGCACTGGGAATTTTAGGACATCTCAGGCTCGGCTCTGCGTTGTCAAATTTAGCTTAATGTGCAGCAGTTTAAGCTGGACTTGGTCACATTTACATCATCATCATCCATGACCTCCAGCTGTTCTTCTGCTCAGCGGTGCTTCAAGGTTAATACATCCTGGACAGAGTGAGTTTGAACTCCTCCCTTTTAGACAGTGCTACAGGTCACTGTACGCCACATCTAGACAGTTTCTTCCCCCGGGCCATGGCAGTACAAACTGCTGTGCAACAGTGTATAGATTTACATTTAGTAGCTCTTTTTTTTAACTTGAATACATGCATCTGTGTACATTTTTGTCTTTTGTTTTTTACTTGTGGTTCTGGTTTTATATTGCTGTGCACATTGAGGCCATTGGGTTGGTGTCAAATTCCTTGTGTTTTTGAAAATCAAATTCCAAATCCCATTATTGAATCTGATTAATAATAATTCTAATAGTTCCTTTATTTATACTAGTGCTTTTCAAGGAACTTGGACACTTAGTTTAAACGATATTTAAATTTCAGTCAGTACAACAACAAAACTTTAAACTATTTTGTGTAACAAACAGAATATCTAATCTAACTTTTCTAACCATAACTGGTCATTTTAATTGATTATAGACCATTTACTAGACAGTCTTAGAAAGTACATTAATAAACTTGGACAGCATGGACAGTTTTTCCTTTGGTGATATCTGTATTATCAGAGAGGCCAATGAGTGTAAACTAAACATGAATGACAGGTTGGCTATGAAGCTTAACGAACCCAGATAAATCCTAGCATTGACCCAAGTAACAGTCGCAGTCAGACAAGACAACAAGAGCTTCTAATTACTGGCTCACTCACCTGTTATTATGTTGTCAAGAAGTGTTGTGGGCATGCAGAAAATCCCAACCAGGAGGTCACTCACAGCAAGGTTCAGAATGAACAAGTTGGTGACTGTCCGCATGTTTTTGCTCCTCAGGATGATGAAGCACACCACTCCATTCCCCACCATGCACACGAGGAAGATCAGCAAGTAGGACACGATGAAGATGGCAGCTGTGGATGGCTGATGCAGGTAAAATGCAACATAGGTGATGTTGTTCCTGGGAGTGACGGACTCCATTGAGGAGTTGTAAGATATCCACTTGTCATAGAGCTGAGTCACGTTGTTCCCACGTCCTTCATTCATTTTAAACCTGAAAAATGAAAAATAAGCCAATGAGCCTGGTGAATTGGCTTAATTACTAGTGCAAGGGGTTTTAACCGGTGCTTCATGGCCCCTAGTGGTTCACGAAGGCATTGCAGGTTCCACTGTAGGAATCACTATATTCTAAATGTTATTTTAAAACATTTTTGTGTATGAATTATCATTGATGAATAATCAAATTCATGTAAATATATAACATTTAGAAAAGTCAACTGTGACTCTCAGGATTAAAATAGTACTCATCCAGTCTATCCACCCCACAACAGTGGACCTCGCATTACTTAGTCAGAATGGTGATCCATGGGTCATAACTGGTTGAAAACCCCTGTACTAGTGCAATGTCAATGGGATGGGAAGTATTGATGATTGATTTGTTGGAGCTTTAAAACTGCTTACTGCCTGAAATGTCAGTACTTTTTCTGTTTGGTGTTTAAAAGCAAGACCTTCAGTGTGACACTCTTAGCATTATGGAGCAATAATAGATTCAGCAGGTCTGTGAGGGTCTGCACAGGGCTGCGTGCTGACATGCGTGTGCCGACCTACACAGCACAAAGACTGTCCACACCATAACCACACTGACAGCATGTGATAAAGGTAAACAGGCTGCTAGTTTTGTGCTGTTTTTGATGTACTGTCATCCATCTTCTTGGTCTCATTGCCGTTGCATACATATTGTTGGACTTTGTCGTGTGTTCAGCCAAATATAACAAATGGTCTCTTCTTATTACTTATGATTGAGATCATAAGTAATTCATGTTTTCTAGTGCGCATTTGTGGAATGTGTCCCCCAACCCCCATCCACAGCATCTGGTGGGATCCTGACTCGTTCTTAATTATATGCTAAAAAAAACAAGGAGAAAGCCATTTGGTTGAGCCCCTACAACAGGCCTGAGGGAAACATAATTGACCTATTTAAATAATAGATAAGTAAACACCAAGTTAGTTGAATCATAAATTAAACACAAACTAATTACTTAAAATTGCAGAGCTTTCTCTCCCATCTCTCGCTATTCAACGATTAGCCAACCGAAATCCGAAGTAGCCCGTTAAACATCACAAACAAAGCTGCACTGCAGAACATACATTAGACTTAAGGTGCTGGATCAATCTAACAATTAAATACCCATTTTTCCTTCATTAAAAGGGCTGTAGCCTTCAGCAGCAGGCTTTTTATGCAAATCAGTTTGTCACACCTGTCACCTCACAGGACAGGGAAACAGAACTGAGGCCAGAAAGTTGCTATAACCAGCTTTAAAGTGTTGTTACAGTGAGTTCATTTCAGCAAAGAGGCATGGGAGCACGGGGTACAAGCTAACACAGGGCAAAATGAAATGGACTTTTCATGTTGTTATACAAAGTCAAGCAGCCTGTGCTTTCAGCCACATTTACCATAGTCGCTCTCCACGGTCTGTTGTGCAAAATATCAGAAAGATTCATCTGTGTTTGGACGAGATCTGTTCCAAAGGCTGTTTTCAGGACATGAAAGTAATTTCTTTTCATCACAGGTGTTTATCAGTTACTAAGGCTTGTGTGTAAATCAGAAAATTCAACCTTAAATTACTTTAATCATTGCCTAGGATGTAGCACTGCTTTGAGATATGTGACAAACTCACAGTAGGTGAGTAGGTAACCCCACTTACACAAGCAATGACAGGTATTTTCTCTCTCATGTAAAATAAAGGTTTTTGTTCAATATGTTTACACGGGTTAAAAAATAAACTAACATGAAATTTCTCCTGCTTTGTTATTGTGTTCAGATGTTAGTATGTTGGTTGTACAATAATATGTAGCTAGATTCATGAAATTGATGTTGCCAGATGGTAAAACAGTAGTTATTCGAAAAAAAATGTTTACTGACGTGTTACTTTTTTAAATTTGCTGACCTGCTTTGTGGACAAATGTAAATTTGCCACTAATTTGTTACTGTGATTTGATGCAGTACTGTTGGTCCACTGTACCTGCTTAACCCCCACATCTCCTACTGTAAGCTAGTGATGCTGTGAGTTTCCCAAAATTACTTTGAACAAATGAAGCAGGAC